CCCAACGAACCACACGTAGAGGAACAAAAGAAAGGTTACCAGTCGACTGTACCACATCTGGGCAGGCAGAAGCGTCCAGGCGAACTGGCAAGAAGATGGCTCTGAAGCTCTAAGAAATGCGCCGATATATTCTGGGAAGTCTGCACACTCATTTATCAGAGGCCTAACGTGTCGATCAATAATATGAACCGACCAGTTAATTAAGAAATGTAGCGGTCAGATGAGATAAGAAGGCGGCAGGGGTATGCTGGACATCGACAAAGGGGAGAAAGGCACATTTCTGTGTCTATAATCTGTCCTTTCTTTCCCCCCTCAGTCCATTCTGCTTGAGCCATTCCCTCCTTCCATTCATTCCTTGACAAATGCCAACTTACCCATCTTTCAACCGCGCTCTCAACCAATAACGAGAAATTGTATTTTCACCTCACCAATGTACCGATCATGTGCATCTGTTTACGAACATTTCTCTTTGTACCCCGTCTCAATCAAGAAAGATTTAAACACAGCCAACAATAAAAGTTATTTCCCCTTACGAAAGTTGTAAATACAATGGAGTCTGTTTAAACCGAATGTGGTCAATCCGAAAACAGAGGTACACCAAAAGAAAAAAAAATCCTCGATCTTTTCCTTCACTATTTGAGCAACCCCTCTAAACCGAAAGTGCGGCTAAACCGATGAAAATCCGGCGGTCTCCCAGATTTCGGTCAAAGCAGACCCCACTGTAAAAAGTAAAGTTGTTCCCGCATCCGATCCGGACGCTGGGGATTGCCTTGTTAGTGAGACAACTTCCTGTGTCTTCGGTATATTGTGGTAGGGGGGCCAGAACCCACTGTACATTTCTTTTTTTATTTAATCCTCAATAAACCAGAAGATACATTGGCAGTGAACTAGTTAGAGAGAACACAAGTGGGTTTGTAATACGTCGGCCACAGCAGAAGCCAAAAGTCATCATAACCTTTAGTTTTTCAAGTTCTTCTATTTTGCCCGAGAAGTAATATTCTCTTCTGCAGAGGTATTGGTCATCGTCACACATTGACGGTCGAGACGTTTAAATGATAATAATATACACGTGTACACAGCTGCAAAGAGGTTAATGAACTAACTGTGGACAAATGGCATCACCCCAAAACATATACATATCAAGAACACAATCCGAAGAAAGTTTTCATAATCAGGAGATAACTGGAATTCAAAAATCATTTACTGTTGTCGAACATAAAGCGGTCACGTTTTAGAGAGTTTACGTGATGACGTCAAATCTGTTCAACTGCAAAATTTGCTCTCTGTACAGAATTTCTTTAAAACCAACGTCAATGAAATCACAGTGAGGTGGGTAGATTAATTTACCCAAAACGGAAACATGCAATTAACGAACTAGAATAATTGGTTTGACGAAAATAATGTTGTTTTCCCTGAGGGTGACTTAAGAACATACATAACGCACCAATGGAAGGCAATGTCATTATAAACCGTTCGAGGCAAGCGCACATACATTTCATTAGTAAAGCTGTTAACGTAATGATTATGGTATCGACCCCATATTTGCTCTGTACTACATAATTTTCTCGCCTAACTTTTTCCTCAGTTCTTTTCGTCTAAGCCTCTTTTTACTACTTTAAAATGTTTTCTCAGATCCATTCGTCCAAAAGCTAGATTTTAAATAAATGATCTATTTCGATTTTAATCTGGTGTTGATGTCGTTGGTGCTCTTACTGAAAACAGATTACAATAGAGAGGGAGAAGCGGAAAGATGGGAGAGAGAGAGACAGAGACAGAGACAGAGACAGAGAGTGAGAGCGAGAGAGAGAGAGAGAGAGAGAGAGAGAGAGA